CTCTGCCCAGCCTGTAGCTGTGCCTGGGGTACATGTGATTTTAGGTACAATATTTTCAGAAGCTGAAACTGCAGAATGTGAGGGTAAGACAACTGTGAGGGTGGTGAAGCCAGAGGTGGTTGCCCAGAGAAGTTGCAACTGCCCCATCCCCAGCAGTGTTCTAGGCCAGGTTGGATGGGACTTCGAGCAACCTGGTCTAGTGGAAGGTGTCCCTGCCCATGGCAGGGGGGTTTGGAACAGATGATCTTTAAAGTCCCTTCCAACTCAAACTATTCTGTGATTCTGTAATGTGCCACACTCCTTACTAGTGCCAAACCACAGCTAAACTACCAGGTTTGACCCTGCTCGTCCAGCCGCCTTTGCTTTGAACAGGAAACATGAGTGTCTGACAGGGTTCTGCTATGCTTTTAGACAAGGAGTGGTCGGGGTTTAGTGTTTCTGAGTTGCAGATTAAGGATTATGTTGTAGTCTTGGACATTTTTCTGTTTTTGTGATAGCATGGCCACTGAAGAGTGTGTATATTGGATTTGGTTGAAGTTGAAAATACAGTCTTTGGGATTTTCTGTTTGTTCTGAGGAAACATGTAAAGCACAGCTCATGGCAAGGCAAACTTTCCTATGCAGCCCTGCCAATGTACTCCTACCCAGATCTTTTCTCATGACGAAAGTAATGTGGTCCAGCAGGCCAAATCCTTGTTCATGATCTGGTGGCAGCTAGCCACTAATTTAACTAAACCCCAAGGATTCTTCCCACATTAGGGAATCCTCAAGTGACATTAAGATACTAAAGCAGCTTTCTGGAATGAGGCGAGAGGTGAAGCAGCATTATGGGGATGGCCTATTACATAGTAATTGTGATTTGATCTGGTCAAAAACTTCACTGGGTTTCAAAGAATATACAGATGGTTTATTCCACCTTTACTTTCTTAAGAGGCCCAGGAGATGCGGAGCTTCTTAGACATTCTGCCCACAGCCTCTTTGCTGGAATTCTTGACTGTGGTAGCATTTCTGCTGTAGACAGCTGGCCATCTGGGACCAGACTGAGATCACTAAACTTAAATAGCCTCCATAAAGGTAAAGCCAATCAGCTGTATTCTCCCTGAATGTGTTCACTGTTGCATTTCAGGCTATTTACGACATAATGCCTTACTTTTTTATTATGTGTTGTAGGCTATTTTTTAAATAGAAATATTTTTTAAAATTAGAGCCAAAATTTGCAGCTGTTATTCATTTTAAGTGTGATCATTTTCTTTTCACAGAATAAAGGAGAATTTTAAAATTAAAAACATCACAAAATGTGATGAAAATTTGAGTGAATAACATCAGCTAATCAGGGAATCCTGACCTCAGGGGTCAGATTTTCACCGCATGTTTGTAACAATTGTGAATTCTTTTTTTTTTTTATTTTGTGACAAATACTCTGAATTTCTCTAGTAAATTGCTGTTATGTTAATCATTGACAATGGAGAAATTTTCTTTATTCTGTGTTCTCAAGAATCAGTTCTAGTTTTCTTTAGGTACCCACAACTAATTTTTGTTTCATTTTCTGAGTTAATAGATAAGAACCATCTGCCTCTTTGAGTCTATTACCTTAGGTAGGTCACTATGCTTCTAGGAAGGTAGACAACAAGATTGACATATCAATGCCAAAGACACTTCAGTGTGAGTTTCTGCTACAGCACAAAGTAATAAAGTCACATTAAGGAGAGATCCACAAGGGAAATTTGTCCTTTATAGCGGTTTCTGGACTGCACTGTTATTAGTGCGTTATTCTGATTTGGCGTATGAGGCATTGTGCATCCTGACTTTTGAGAACATTTCATGTCCATCCCAATAAAGTCTGGACCTGAAAGAATCTATATGGGAAAACAATTATGTATCCTAGCAGGACACAAGAAAAATGTGAAATTATAACACTGTGATATTGTACCATTTTATATTCCAAACAATTTTGCAGTTTTTTATTAAATCTACTGAAAGATACAAGAAATGTTTATAAATAAGCATTTTAAAAAGTGTCACATTCAGAATTAAACTTTCCAGCTTTAAAGTTCTGGTAAAACTGCTTATTAGAGAAAAAAGTTGGCATTTAAGACTCCAGAGAGTACTATTTATGAGCTTGCGGTACGTTGTTAATTTGTTCAGTGCTAGCATAGCAGGTCAGGCTCCTTTGAATTGTAAGATTGTTTTCATGTTAGCTCCAGAGGGAGAATGTATGTTTTCTCCTTGTGTGGTCATTAGCACAGTTCTACTGGAATGGAAGTGGTAAGAGCCCACCAAATGATTATCCTTTAACAGAAGGAAAAAAGGCAACTTGAAAGAAAGCCATTTCAGTTTTATTAAAAAAACCCAAACAAAACAAAACCCAACTATTTTATAATTTCTGAGCTCCTTAACCCAATTCTGCAGTTATTTCTCACATGTAAGTAAACACATGCTTGTCGTAGCTCATTTGGTCTTATATTCCTGAGTGTTGAACAACCACAGTTTTAAGAGCTACATGAGACATTTTTTTCAGTGTCAGACTTTTGAGGTGCATTTACAGTGTTTAGTCTAGCTAAGACAGTAACTTCCTATAATGTTGTTGTGATTAAGCAACATAAAAATACAACGACAGGACCATCGTAAATTAAAATCCACTTTTCATATGCAAACCCCATTATTTCTGTCTCACCTCTTTAAGCATACATTCATTCTCCCTGTAAGGTAACAATAATATTCCGAGGTCTATATAAGCCAAGTCTGTCTCTAGTTGACTTGGACATTCAAAATTTTGAATATAGTATTTTTTCTTGTATATCATTGTTTTGATTACTATTTATGGCAGAAAAGGGGCAGGTTTCTATAACTCTACATTTAGGTTTAAAACGCTAAATGTTGAAAACAGTTTTTAATAGTGCATGCTGCTTTGTAGAAACATGTAAACTGAAACTGATGAGAGTTAAATATCTTGGGTTTAGTGTGGTCATTGTAGTAAATTATTTGTACTACAGATGTGGTTCTGGAACCAATTGTGTCAGGAGAGATGTAAAAACAGAACAAATAAACGATCCATGCTAAACATTTAGTAACACAATTATATTAACTCCCCTGAGCAGTCCTTCTGAAATTACTGGAATATTTCATGGGAACAAATTTGAGAATATACTGGGGAACTGAGAGTTAAAAGGTAATAATTGCATTATTGAATATATATAAAATTTCTACTTTGATACAGAGACTTATTTTCTAAACATCTGTACTAACATGAAACTGTCTGAGCTGTAATCTATTCATGTTTTGTCATATGATATAGCTGCTGTCATATGTTATTAATAACAGATTTTTTTTTAGCAATGCTATGCATTTGAATTTTAGTTGAAAATGGAACATGATTTTGACATTTTTTGTCTTTTACACTGAATGGTTTATAAAAGTTAATCTTCCTAAGACATTCTAGTGCTGAAAGATCAATGCTTTATATACAGCTTCAATTAATTTTTTTTGTATTTGTATCAGGAAGCTGGATTTTTCAGATTTTCCAGAGCTGTAGTTTTTACATGCTGAGACTCATTTCAGACAGGCATCTCATGGGAAGTACTTGTATTATACTTAACAATTACATGTTACCTACAGCACATGCTGTATGTACTGTGTCATAAGGATATGTATAGAATCTTAGAATCATAGAATCTTTTAGGTTGGAAAAGACCTTCAAGCTTACTGAGTATGTCAAAGGATTATTCATTTCAACTCCAGGAAGTTATTGTCAGCAAGGAAATTAAGGACGAAAAATAATAATATTTGAAAACCTTAACTCTATTTTTTTTAACTTAGGGATGCAGACTTGTTCCTGTTAGACACAAGAAAGGCTCAAGCTTCTGATGTGGGCTGGTTTGTGTTTGACATTACTGTGACCAGCAATCACTGGGTGATTAATCCACAGAACAATCTGGGCTTACAACTCTGCACTGAAACTGGGGACGGTAAGATCATAACTGTAGATCATAAAGCCGTACTTGCTCTTGTCATGTCTTCCTAGAAATCTCGTATGGTGGGTGTTTTTTAACTTGTCTGGGTGACAATTTATTGAGAATTTATAAGCAAAGAACACAAGTCTTATCCTGCTGTAGCTATAGTCTGCAAACTTTCTATTATTCTTAATTCTGTAGAGTGTGACAATTAAAAAGCTAAGTGAATTAAATTAAATGAAGTTATGGATAATAGTTCCTACATAAAAAATGAAGTTCCATTTTAATGTTCCTCCACTGATGATTCAGGAAATTAAAGTAGATTTGCAGAATTTGTTTTTAGAAAGTTTTAAATAACTTTTTGGGCTGAATCATGGACAAAGCTATAAAAAAAACTTGAGACAGTTCAGGAGGGATCTCATAGACAATGGCACTGTTGTTGGAGAAAGATTAACAATGGGGTAATGTGGGAATTGGTTATACATAATTTGGGGAAAAAAAGAGTTTCTAAATTTTTTTATCTTGATATGGGTTACAAGTTTGAAATCCTGAAAATTTTGATTGGCTGAACATTAGAAAGAACACTCAGAACTGAAGTCAGCTATGGGGTTTTTAGTACAAATTTACTGGGCTACTACATTATTCACAGTTGTGCTCTTCACTAAAAAGTGAAAATGCATCTCAATGCAAAATAATATTTTTTGAAGTAATGTTCTTTGCTTAGACTTCTTTAGAAACTAATAAAAAGAGACTTATGTACTGTTTTCTCTGTGATGGTTCACTTAACCCATACTACTTTACAAGCAAATTTTCAGATTTAGCTCTTTCTTGTCAAAAAGCTTTTTATGTCAGAGGTCAAGACATCTATGATGCTAGTTAATTTAAACCTTAGCTGACATAATGTTAATGAGTAGCAGAAGAAATCCTGGTGTAAGGATTAATATTTTTTTCTTCTTTCTTTGTTCTAGCTGCATTTTCTCATTGTTTTTGATCTGAATTCTCCCTCAGGCTCAGCTGGGCTGTGAACAAATCCTCTCATACTTTTTCAGCAAGTGCCCTGGTTGCTGGAGAGTTATGCAAAAACTACCCTCCTTTAGGCATGATGCTTGAAGAGGGAGTTGGCAGGCTTTAACCAGAGCAGATGACCATTTCACCTAATATTGCCTAGATGCTCAGACTACATTCAGTGGGAAAGCGAGACAGAAATGCAAAGTAGACCACATTGCTTCTGGATTCAACCAGCCTTCAAAAGCACCACACCTGAGCTTGGGCTGTGTGGGAAGCAGCTCTGTTATCCTGGTTTTGTGAGGCCATTTTTAAGCCCTTCAAATTCTAGAGAGGTGACGCCTCCGTCAGGCATCCAAACTGGGTGGACTGGCTTCTAGCCAGCTTTCCTGCTCCAGAATAAACTTCATCCTTGAGTTTTTTTCCAGGAGACTCAAATACAGAAATTCTTGAAAATTAAATATCCATGAAAGGCATTCATTAAGAAACCTTGGAACCAGCAATTTGTTGGTTCTAGCCTCAAAATTATATTCGTTCAGTAAATAGCAGGAAAGTTTGTATGGGTAGAAAGAAACCTTTAGGTTAATATGCTGAAGAAATTGTAAAAGAGTAGTTTATTCAAATATTTCCCCTGTCTTACTCCCAAGATCAGAAAAGTGATAGTTAATTTTCTATTTTAAATTCCAAAGCCGCAAGCAGCTTTACTTTCTGCACCTCACTGAATTTTTCAACACAGCTGCTCGAGTGAGGAGGGAATTCCCCTCTTCCCTAACTTTCTGTTTCCTTTTCAGTTTATTCATGCAAGAAGAGTGCTCTTCTAGGCACTAACGCTTTCAAAACTATAGGGAAGACCTGTGCTATTCCACTTCAGCTTAGCATAAGGGAAATCATCCTTTCATGCTCTTACAATTTTGCTCTTAAGGCTTTGATTATTTTTATTGGGTTGCTGTTACTTCTGGAAGCTATTAGAAACACCAGCCGTTGAATGACACGTTTGTGTACAGACGGAACATGAATTTTTATACATGACTCAGTATGTAATGGGCTCAGTTTGTAACCCAGAGAACCCCACCCACCTTCCCTCCAACCAGTTTTCAATGAAAGCTTAGAGACTGACTCAGATCAACCAAAAATCCTTCCCTCGGCTCAAATGAACTTTAGGCCATACAGGTCTGAAACACATTTCTTCATGCCTCCAGCTGTCCACTGAGATTATGGGAGGTAGAGGAGTTGTGCCTCCATAACTGGAGAGACATTTATGATGAGACCTGATATGTTAACCTTTCAATTACAACAGATCATTAAACTAAATGGGATTCTGTTAAGTTAGAAGATCCCTGTTTTAGGTATTCAGGTGCAGTAAATACATACTAATTTTTATATTTTTTCACACAACACCTTTGAAATGGGTAGCCAATAATTACTGAGACTCCAGGGTGCTACTATATTGTTATCATCACCATTAATAGTAATCTTTTTTAAAGTTATCTTTCAGTGATTTTTTAGACAATTACATGTGTAGATATATTTCTTTGGTCACCCATGAATATGGTGCATAAATAATAATAATAATGTCTACATGAGGAATAAAAGAATTTGTAACTATTTAATATAACAGTGTGATAAAAACAGCTTTGGAAGAATGTCTGGTTGTTGTAATTCATATTTTCTCCCCTTCGAAAATGCTGCAAAAGTACAAAAGCCACAGGACATTGGAATGTGTTTTCTCTTTTCTTTAAGACAGTATTTGATATCATACGTCTCATTTTAGCATGAAATGTAGACTTTTTCTCTTAATGGGACATTTTATTTTGAACAGTAAGAATAAAGGTTTGCATGACACATATGGAAGCTGTCAACATATAATGCACTGTTTCCCTGGGGCTGTAGTAAATTAAGGATCAGGTTTTTTTGATTCTCTTTCTTAATGTCTCCTCAACATTCTGCAGCATCCACTTTTGGCTGATTCCCTCCTTTTGACACCAAAACTCTCCTTAGTGTTTCAAATGAAAGGTGATCATTTTCACACTGATGGAAGTGAGGGTGTTAGGTGAACTGCAGCATAAAATCAATGCAGATGCAGAAACAATTTGAAAAGCTCCATGCAACACTTTTCCTGTATATATAACATATGTCTCCTAAGACTTAAAACATGTTCCAGTGAATCAGCACCTTTGTATTAACATTTAATACTTTTATAATTGGGAGTTAGCAACGGTTTGAACATCACTTTTACTGAAGGAGTATGAATAACATGAGTATTCAGTGAATACTGAAGGAGTATGAATTTTATTCATACTGAAGGAGTATGAATAAAAAGATTATTCTTTTGCTGTTTGTATCATTGCTGAAGAGAACCTAGTGTTGTCTGCAGAAAATGGGAAAGGGAGATAATGTGTAATGATGATTATTTATCTATAGAATAAAACAGGTTCCAAATGCACAGCTCTCAATACAATATCCTAGGTAGCCCATACAGCCACGTAGATTTGTGCCTTTTCTTAGATTACTGCAGCTCTCAGTTATTTTCCATCCACCTGCACATCAGAGGGGAAGAAACTGGTGGTAACTTTGAGAAGTCCAAGCTTATTAAGATGCTTTCTGTTACCAAATAATCCTATGTAAGGTTCCTTTGGGCTTTCCTGCTCTTTAAGACTCTTTCTTCAGATATTTCCTTTTTTCCTCAGAGCAAAGGGAAACTTGAAAGAAATAGGTTCCTTGATCCAAGTGAAGCCTGGGGAAAGCAAATTCTCTCTCCAGCACATATTTGGGTGCAGTCTGACATGTATCACTTAGAAGGGTGTTTGGCTCCTAATCCTACATGCTGCAGAAAGGATTGGTGAGGTCCTTCTCCAGTGATAATGGGGAAGACATTAAGAGACACTCTCTCTTTTTTAGACTCTGCTTCTTTCAGCCTTGGCCTTCCAAGGTCACTTTCTCCTACAAAGCCTTCAGAGAAGCAGTGTGGCCTCATTCTCTGCATTGCAGAGGGAGGCTGGCTTGTTTTCAACCCATAGCAACCTGTGGAAGCACCGTGTATTCTTCAGGTAGTTGGCTGCACACATTACATTGGCCATGGCCTCACCTTTACAACACTAAATGTTATCAATCTCATCTTAAGGTTGCCCCCAGTCAATCTTGGCATCTAATGGCCTCCAGAGCCACCAGGTGCTCTGGAGGATGCTGCTGGGTTGTTATATCGAAGTCTCTTGGTGCATCTGGTATTTACAAGACGAAATATCAAGAGTAAGTTCACCTTCATTAGTGTCCTTAGAGTTGGGGAATATAGGATTTATATTGATATATATATGGACCTTGGCAGGCAATAGGTCTGCCTAAATTCTGAGCCATCTGGAAGCCATATAGCCATGTTAACACAGCACTGAACCCGAGCTAATATATCCTGCCCCTCAGCAGGTTTTATTAGCTTGGGCTCAAGCACCGCCTAAGTACAGCTTACATGAGTTCTGGTTCAGAGCTGACTTTGGCCAAAGTTACACTAGTAAATTAAACATGCTTAGGAATACTGTGGTGTGAAACAAGTTGGAGGGATGACTCTTTCAGTCTCCAAAACAGGATGACCCCATGGCTTTTTCCCCGTGGGAGTGGTTCCTGCAGCACTGCCTTAGGGTGCTGGACACTCTGTGGTGGAGTTGGCTTAGGACTGAAATGCACCAGGAGCACCCTCCCACCCTGAGCAGAGCAGATGATCCAGCTCCAGCACCTGGGAGCACTCTTGGGCACTCTAATTTGCTCAAATAGGTGTAACTCCTGTTTCCAGCTGGGTCAGAAATACAGTCATCATTTTCTTGTGTCTGTTTGTAGCAAGAGATGCGAACACATCCTTTGTTACTAAGGGCGCACTTTAAGCAGGAGGTTCAGGGAGGTGAGATGGACTCCTGCCACCCCTGCATGCTGGCAAGTAGTGGTCCTGGTTGTACAGCTGTGCAACTCCCCCTTCATCCTGCTCCCCAGATAGATGAAAGATACATCTACTTCTCAGCACCAGT